CCCCCCCCCCCCCCCATTTTCTAAACTGGTCCTGGCTATTTCAAAATAAAACACTATGCCTGTCCATCCCTTCACTATAGATGTTTTCGGAAAAGGACAAACACTAGCCAGATTTTATTCCTGGCAGGAGATTTGATAGAATGATTGAAGGTTATTTATAATTTTAAATTAGAGACCCAGTTTGGTGTAGTGGTTCAGGTGCTGGCCTAGAAACCGGGAGACTGTGAGTTCTAGTCCGGCCTTAGGCATGAAAATCCAGCTGGGTGACTTTGGGCCACTCAGCCCAACCCACATCACAGGTTTGTTGTTGTGGGGAAAAATAGGAGAAGGAAGGAGTATTAGGTATGTTCGCTGTCTAATATTAACCCTTGAGTTACTTATAAAGTAATAAAGGCTGGATAAAAAAACCTAAAAAAAAAACCTTAAAAATAACACCTTAGCAAATAGAAGGGGAACATTCCCATCATTTCTTTATTTCCATTTAATAGTGGATACTTCATCTGAAAATAACAGGAACTTTTATGTGATGGTCCATTCATAGAAATTATTTGTAAATGATTAAATCAATTTAGGCTAGATTTAGGCAAACTAAAACAAAAAAGAGTCACATGCAGTAAATTGTAAATAAAAGGTTTAACAGCATGAAATATGTATTAGAGAGAAATCTGATTTGGTAGCAGTCAATATGTGTAGCAAAAAAAATAAGTATTGGCAATTTATCCAGATCATTGTCCTGGCCCTTGCTCACTATTCAATGAATAATTTATTAAGAGCTTGTCAATATTTAAGAACTTGAACTTTGATTATAAGTAATGTTTAACTTTCAACAAACTAATATGCATTATTGAAACATAAATGTTTAGCTTATTCAGGCCGTTGCACTAGCTTTGTTCATTATTCTTGTGGATTGAAAGCAGAAATATATGTAGTAAATTAGCAAGAGAATAATATTACAGTTAATAAGAACAGTACAGTTAGTAATTGAATAATATTAATAAAATAATATTACAGTTCTTATGCCTAACAGAAAAATCTTTATATTATGAACAGTTTACAATATATTTATAAACATTCTTGTGGTGCAAAACAAGATTTCCTCTTACACTTTTGGGATGTAATGTCATGTAAAAATATTTTTTTAAAAGAGTTTGAATTAGATTCATAAACCGTAATAAATAAATTGGTAGGATATATAGCTAGGTCATAGGGATCAAACACTGAATTTGATTATTACTGGAAAATCAAATTCATTCTTAGCAGGTGCAGTCTATAAAAGAGATTCATATATAGAATTAGTGTAAGTAGCCCCAAAATCTGAATCTAAAAGGAATATTGTCAAAAGTTATGAGAAAGTAGAAAAGAGACCTTTGGGGCCTGACCTAAGACTCTGTTTTCTCTCTTTTAGGTGCTGATGCTGTAGAAGCCCAGTGTAAAAGGTTTGAAGTTAGCTCAAGTGAAGATGGTAGGGTGCTTTTCTCTGCTGATGAAGAAGAGATTGTCATTGGGGCAGACAGACTGAAGGTCACCGGTAGGTAGTAAGAGTGGAGTCCCTAATGCAAAATGATTGTGTGTGTGTGTGCGTGTCCATGCACATGTGTGTGTGTGTATACAAAGCCAAAGTGGTCCCAGTGCTGGTAGGAGCCCTCGGGGCTGTGACTCCTCAGCTGGGAGAGTGGCTCCAGCAGATCCCAGGAACAACATCAGAGCTCTCTGTCCAGAAGAGTGCAGTGCTAGGAACAGCTCAGATACTGCGCAGAACCCTCAGACTCTCAGGCCTCTGGTAGAAGACCTGAGATTGAGGAATCACCTATAGGGGTGAGAGGTAAATTTTGGAGGGGGGGTATACAAGTTCTATATATCTGTGACATATCTTGGAAAGAGGGAGAACCCTATTATCCATCACTGCATTCAAGATTTGTACCAATAGATATATTTTCATGATACTGTGAATTAAGAACAGTAATTTTCTTCTATTGCAGAGCTACATCTTTCAAAAGCAATTTTATCTTGCAAGTTACAATATTCATTTCTTGTTCTTTTGCCCTTTAAAGGTTTAGTTAGATACTACCCTTCACCATCATAAAAGTTGTCATTATATAGTTATATGTACTCAAAATGTCAACTCTAATTTCTCTGTGATTTAAGACTAATACACTTAAAGTACTCAGTCAAGAGTTATTATTAAAGGAGGTGCATCTTCAATCAGTAAAGTCAGAACTGTTGAATTCCAGGGATGATTTCTCTCACAATTTTAAACAATCTCTAATAAAAGACTGTATTTGTTCAGGGATACTATTTGGATTCACTGATACATATTGATCAACTTGATCAGCATAAATGGTTGACTGGTTTATATTTTAATGGAGATTTACCTTATTTATATTTTCCAAATAAATATGTTAATTGAAACACAGTTGTATTTTAAAATTCTCTTTCCTCCCCTCCCCACAAAGTTTAGAGTACCATTCCAAAATAAAATCAGAAAAAAACATACATCAACTCATTACATAAAGAAAATAGAAAAATTACAAACAAACCTATTTTTAACAAGCAAAACCTTCATGAAATGAGTACCTGTTTGGGAGTGAAGATTAGATTGATGATAGATAGATAGATAGATAGATAGATAGATAGATAGATAGATAGATAGATATCACAAACTAATATAAAAATACAATAGGATTTAAAAAAATATGTGAATGCAATACCAAATTTTTAGAGCCCTTATTGTAGGGCTTATTATGCAAAACGACTTTCTGTTACTACTTTGGAACTCTCAGTTACTTATTAAAGTAGCCATATCAATTTTCAGGCTTATATAGAAGTTTGAAAAACAAGACATGGATTCTTTAATGAGTAGTGGAAATTCTTGATGCAGTTGTTTCAAGGGAAAATGGCCATTTTTAAATCTTCCTAAAAAACATCACCAGGCAAATATTATACTTTATGTTGCCCAGTTACTTATAAACAAATATTTCCATTAGAAAGAGGAGAGGAAAAAAGAATTTGAAAATTGCAAGAATAAAATCCAAACAAAAATTTACAGCATAAACTCAGAATTCAGATAAATATTGAGTATATAGCAAGCAATGGATTCAAACTTCCAAAACACATATTAAAAGATTTATCAAAAGTGGACTTCAAAATAATTAAAAATTGCAAAATTTATCAACTGTTTACTATATTAATTTTGAATAAGGAATATATCCTTGAGAAATAAAGTTAGATTTTTAAAATGAAAGATTGGATTTAGGGTACTATGATTTATTGAAAACCATTTAAAGTTGGTTCTGGTTTTTATATACAACTTAATACATTTTCCACTTATAAGTTAGCCTTTTGAAAGTTACAGTTCTGTGTGTGTGACATGTTACAGCCTGGAAAAAGAGTTGTAAAAATCTAACATTCCTGTATGTACAAGTCCACTCTGAATGGTTCCTGTGCCTGTATCCACTCTGCACTGTCACTGGGCCTGTGTCTACCAGTCCACTCCATATTGTCACCAAGAGTTTGGTAAGAAGCCTCTGATTCCTGATGAATAACAACAGAGCTCCTTTTAAAAAAAAAAAATAGCCAGTTTGATCTGATTCTTAATATTCAAAGGTCAATTGGAGGTGTCAATACATCTTATATATTCTTTAAAAGGTAAAGCAGATAATTGCAGCATGATTTTGAATCCAGCTCCAGAAGAAAGATAATCTTTTAAACTTTATCCACAAAGACAAGGACAATGTAATTTGATATTGCTTCATAATGGAAATAAATATTAAATGTATGAAGGTGCTCAAGCCATTGGTAATTCTTGCCCAATATTTTTTTATTCTGCTTACCAGCAATTCATTGGCCTAACAGGAAGCTCTTTTCCAGCCTGTTAATTCAAGTTGCGAGAACTGAACTTGGGACTCTTCTTCTTTGCATTTATATTTTTAATCTTTAAACTGTAGCCTCTCTAGCACTAGCCATGGCTACTGGCACCCTCCATTATTCTTGCTGAAATGAAGATGGTGACATTCTGCCCATTGCTACTGATAGCAGATTGTGTCCTCATTCATGGTGGATTATGCCACTGTGTACAATTTTCTCTGCTGCATCAGAATGCCCTTCAATATGTTATGTTTTCAATAAATCATAGTGGGTGCCCTTCATTATGATAGTTCCTTACCCAACTCATCACCCTCTCTGATGTCAAGAATGAGACATGGATGCTCAAGCACCTTACCCAAAGTAGAGTGCTTAATAGAAGCATGGTTGTATCTTTTGGAAGTCCAAAACCATTGCTGAAGTCAGATTCCCGCTTTCAAAAACCTTCACATAGATATAAGGCACTTCAAACTCCAACAGTATCTGCAAACTTTTTCTGCATGTGATATTCTGTCCAAGTCTTTTGTAAGAAATTGTGTTGCCTGCCAGTAGTGGCTGTTGATGCACTGACCACAATATTTCTGCAGGGCTGATGCAGAGGACGAATGCAATTAATAATTATAATGCCATCTAGCAGATAGGATTAAAGTATCAGACTGATTTACAATAAAATGAAGCGTACGTGTTTAGACATAATGAAACCTTGCCCATAATTTACATTTACATACACTTCCATTAAATTAAAAAGATAGCTATTAAATATTTATTTTCCTTTTCATTAAATAAATTATGATTAAACATTTATAAGATCCAAGTACAACTCACAAGCTCCCAATTTGTCAGGCCTGGTCTAACTAAACCGCATCTTCTTTCCTTACTATAAGCATATTGGATGTGTATCTAAAGAGGTGGAAGTCTTTTTTTAAAAAGTCCAATGATCAGAATGTCATGTCACAGGACATAATATGGATGAACTGATGCAAGACATGGGGATGTAAAGGAATTTGAGGTCAACACTCAAGGGCAAGTAGAAAGACAGTTCTGCCTGTATTCTTGGCTTGGGGAATATAATGCCTTTCGGCAATGTTCTAGTTGTACCTTGCAACCATAATTCATTCTTTTGTAACCCCAAAGCTACATGACAGGGGTCTACCCTCAATGACTAATAGAGAGCTGCTACATAATTGAACACAGAGACCAACATCCAACAGCTGGAGTCCTATGTTGGATACCCTGTAGAAAACTGCTTGTTTTTTGTTAGCTATATATCCTTGAGCAGCTTGGCTTCTACATGTTTAAAAGTAGATTTTCCTATTTTAGTTCTGTCACAATCTCTGAAGTTAATCCATATGTTCCATCCCCACCAGACTTAAATTGATTTGTATATCATCATTTTAATATCTTGCCTTTCACTAAAAATTCCAAGCAATTAAGAATAATCATTTAAAGTCAATGGGAAAAGAGCTTTTAGTTATATATCCTGGTTTCAATCTATTCTCTGACATTAAAGATAAGCAACATGACTGGAAAGATTTGCTTCCAAATCTAAGTAACAAAAAACAAGCTAACCTTCTTTAAACCTTAACTGTCAAGGCAGATGCCCTTGTGCATTGTAAAAAGAAATGCTGTCCAACTATTCTAGTGATGCTAACATCAGACAAGAACAAAGCTCTCCAGACAGACTTCTTCCTCAGTGGAATGTGATTAGGATCATTAAAGTAGCTTTAATCAAAGTGTGTGGAAAATTGTCTTGAATTGGATAAGGAAATGGAGGTCTCCATGGCCTATATCCTGGCCAATCATTTGGACAAGCACAGGAGGAAAAGAAGCTGGTCTAAGGAGTCATAGGAATGCCTCACTCTCTTCTCTAATTTGAACTAAGCCTCTTAGCTTCATCCTTCCATCTGCAATGGTCACCGGCACAGACATGGTCAGTGACTTCCAATGATCTCCAGTATCCAAGATATCTTGGTTAAGGCATCAATAAAGAAACTTTAAGGTAAAATACAATTGCAAGCCATGCTTTGACCAAGAATATGCCAGTATATATGCAAAATAATGCAAAATATACAAAATAAATCAAAATTCAAAGAAACTTTGAAATACTGTTCTAGAGGGAACAAAGTTTAACTTAACCATATAAGTTTCTTTTAATCAAAAAGAAGCATGCAGCACATTTGGGTAGCAAAATTTACCCAAATCATCCAAGAAAGGAATTTTATCACTTTATGAAATCTGTTCACACCGTACACACACACACACGTGCACACATTCACACACACACCCAAATATACTTCATATCTGGGCCAAACATTTTACAATTCAGTAACAACACCAACTAGAGTTATACTCCAGGAATTTGCCCAGGAGATCTAGAAAGCTAGGTTCTAGAGCCCATTCCAAGACTGTAAAAATTATTATGCAGTTGAAGCAAGGCAAAATCCCCAGGATTTAATCCCTGCAGATTAATGTCAAATGACAGGTCTCAATCCTCGCCGATTAGTTTACACAAACAGATTGCAAACTTCAGATTCCATCAGAATGGAGCAAATCCATCACCATCTCAATATATAAAAAGGGAAATAAAAGTAGTCACTCAAATTACCACCCTATTAGCCTGCTAAGCATTTTAAGCAAATAAAATGCGCTAGGCATTTTAATGGGAAC